GAAACTGCCTCAGTCCAGTGTTAAGAGTTGATGATCAGTTTAATGTAAAATAATGCGTATACACACGAAGGAGGAGAACAATACCCAGTAAAACCCTCAGACTTACCTCGATCTCTGTGTTCTTAAGACTGGCCACTACGGCAGCCGCCTCTGCTTCCAGTTCTCGCTTTACTGAAACATAACAACAAACCATTAAAGGGCACCTATAGTGAAAAATCTACTTTTCAAGCTGTTTGGACAGACATATATGTTGGTATAGTGTATAGACCGTCATATTGGGGTGAAATAAACACACTCAGTCCTTTTTTAATTTTTCAATTTAACAACATAAAAACGGTGGACCAATTGGAGCGGTTTTCATACCGACCGCAACTTGACATAGGAGTACGCTCCCCCCGCCCACCGAATTGATTGACAGCTTCACGTAGCATGTCCTGGTAGTCACATGTATAATAATCATGTCAACAAGACCAGACGTGCGCAAAGCAACCGGGAATAAAAGGTCTGTTCAGTTCGCTAGGATCATCAATCATCATCAAATGTGATCAAGAGTGAGTTTCACATGTTTAAAATGTTTTAAAACAGTGCACGTGTGTAATGAAGTACAGAGATTTACTTCAGCATTACTTCATCAGCACAGCCGTGTGTCAGAACAATTATAAAGGAAGACGCTTCAATCCCAGTTTGTGGACATTAAATCAGGTTTATTTTGTACATAAACATAACAGATATCCATACAGCAGTGGAGATTAGCCTGTATCCTGTCACATATGCGTGCAAAAAGAGTGGGAAGCTAAACGCGCTCTGTCTGTCAGTTTGTGTGTGTGTGTGTGTGGGTGTCGGTCTGTTTGTGTGTTTGTTTATCTGTGTGTGCACGCGCACATAAACTTTGTCCATTGACATTGTGTGTGTGTGACTCATCGATGCATCTCCACAACAAATTCCTCATTGGTAAAGTTCTTACTGTAGTATTTCTCACAAACGCTACGTGAGATCTTCTTCCTGTCTGTTGTCTGACGCAGCCAAGGGAGGAGATTAAGGCACGCAGAAAGACATGTAGAAACGGGTCGGACTATCCTTAAAGGTGCAGTTCGACTAAATGGCCCCCTTCTGGAAAAATGTTAAAAAAAGGATCTTGTAAAAGGTATAATAAAAAATCTGATGGGTGTTTTGAGCTGAAACTTTACAGACACATTTTGGAGACTAGGGCTGTGCAATTAATCGAAAATCCGATTTCGATTTTAGCTTCTAACGATTATGAAAAACCATTAATCGAGATAAATGATTATTGCATCATATACCGCCCCTTTGCAGCTGCTGAACACATTTGTTGCTCTTAAAAGCGCAAAAGACCGCATGCTTATGTTTGTGTGTATGCGGCCAGCACACACACAGTCAGAAGCATGTTTTTGCGTTATTTCAAGCAAATTCGTACTTCCTGTTTGAAACAAATTTTTGAAGCTGCGTCACGGTCATGACATAATAGCCTGTATTCCAGCGTGCAGACTGGGCGTCTGTGCCAGAGTGAGTCTTATTACGTCTTACAGTGTGATGCATTAATGCATGAGTAAGGCTTGGTTCAAACCAATCAGCGCGCTCTATTGTGCAACTTCATTAATATTCATTAGTGTCACCGTGTTTTCAGGACAGAGACGCCACGTTGTGTTGGCAAAACAAGCGTGAAGTGTTGCTTTTATAGTTTGCTGCCGTTAAGTTTCGTTTTCATTTTCTCTCTGTGAGAGCTCAGACTCACGTGTGGATTAACAGTGTACGCAACGCTCGACAACAATAACTTGCGTGTCTAAGGAGGATTATTGTTTACCTGAGAGCTGTTCTCATCTGCTAACGCTGAGATCCAGATTCGCTTGTAGTATTCTCTTCATAAAGACGCGGCTCTAGTTGCTGTGGATTGTCCTGTCTCTACAGATTTGGTAAGTGAGCGACCAGTGCTCTTTGTTTATTCAGTTTGTTCGTATCGAACCAAGTTAACTATTGCACCGTAACATGTTAGCACCACAACCAAACTTTAACCTCGTGTAGGGTTTTCAACCGCATTTAGTGACCAGAATAACACAAGCGGCTTTCTGACGCTACCTGCCGTGTGCATCTAAGTTTCCGGAAAATGCGGAGGTTTTTTTTTCTCTCATTCGCCGTGCGGTATCAAACATTGCATGAAAAATACACGCTTAGAGCAGATCCTCGAATCAAATATCTCGTTTGTCGCGAGGGGCATGAATGAATTCCCTGAATGAAAGAGCCAAACTGCAGTTAAAGTCCAACATTTAATAGTTTGGCAAATAATTCCACAACAGATGTCCATGTAGGTTAAACACTTTTTAAAATCACTTTCTCCTGTGTGTGAGTATTTTGACTGAAACTCGCGCGTGCCCAAATAGACACTCCCACACTCTCCCACTTTTCTTCCTCCGACACTACCCCCTAAACAGAGCTGGACACGCCCAATTTTCTGACTTTTTCCAAAGTAGAGGTGTGAAAACACCCTGCTGAAACGAGGGGGTTTCATGGCCCTTTAAGCATTTCTCCCAAAGAAAAGCCTGTCTAAGCAAAATGCTAGCATGAATCTGTAGCTATTTGGTTACCCCCGATCGGTGCGATGACGTGCAAACAAAATGGCCCAGGTTGGCCACGCCCACCTGAGCTTCATTTGCGCTCTTCAGAAACCCATGGGTGACGTCACGAATACTACGTCCATATCTTTTACAGTCTATGGTGTAATCATAAAAGCAGCTAAATTATTTGTAATTGTAGGCTATTCATTCAAAAGATCAGTTCAAACTTTTATGAAGCCTTTTAAATAAAATAGGTTATTATTGTATAAAAATATAACATTTTGAAATATTTATATTTATCGGAATATATCAGATATCGGCCTCCAAATCTTAGAGTTATCGATTATCAATATCGGTCTAAAAATATTGGTGCATCCCTATATTAATTATTAACCAATGATTTCCCATTGCTCCAAATGTGTGTTCACTGCTGTGTGTGTGCACCCTTGGATGGGTTAAATGCAGAGCACAACTTCTGAATATGGGTCACCATACTTAGCCACATCAAAACAAACCATTATTACTGAAACAAAATCTCCTACTTTTTACTGTAAATATCACACACCAGTTGTAAAAGTAAAAAAAAAAAACTTAACAAATAGTTTACCCTGATTTCTTATGGCATCCTGGGACGTGTGCACCTTGGGCCGGTGCTGCTGCTCGATCCTGGCGAGGGCCGCGGCCCCTGCCATCTGTGCTCCCGCTGTCGGTGCCTTCCTGGACGCTGCATGAGAAGCCTGTGAGGCCTGAGGTTTAGAGCTGCAAAAAACAACAACAACAGATTTCACTTATTTCTCTAGTTAAAACCCTTATTGTGACTAATAACACTCTAAAAAAAAGTCACTCCCACGTGACTGGCACACTAAGCCTGTTAACCTATGCGTAATTATAGCGTTATAAAAGGATAGTCTCACAGCTCGATCCTGTTCCGTGTTCTGGATCCAAAACTAGCAATGTAAACCTAAATGTGTAGCCTGTGCTGTATATGTCGTCAATGTTGGGATCAGGAGAAATGTAAACATGCATATATGTTGTCGTATATCAGTAAAAATGGCATTCACTTCTATTGCGAGAAGGTCTATAATGGCATTTTAATCTCACCATATTAACGTTGACGTAATGTAGAGCAGTTTTCATGACAGACCTCGTACACACATCTGATGTTTGTTTTGTTTTTACCTTGATTCATCTGTAAGTTTCTTCCCTGGCCCTGCTGACTTGAACTTGATGTCTTTCTTGATGTCGTCGAAAAACTTCTTCATTCTTAGAGATAAACTGTATGCTAACGAGCTTTTTTAAAATGCAAGATAACTTGTTTTTAATTATTTATAACTGTCAGACACACCACCACCCAAGCGATGTGTTTACAACGGGAAAGGGACTGTTTCTGAACCGGAAATGTGGTAATGGAGAGGTCGTGACGCAAACCTGGAGTTTTAGCGACACCAAGTGGAGGGAAGAAAAATGACAATGGTTTATATGAGCTGAAAATCAGAGATATTTACACCTGTGCATGAAAATAAATAAGCGTTCGTTTTTTCATAAAATATTAAATTGTATTAAGACTTAATTGTATGTATTCATTCCTCTCAAAAAGTATTTATATTGTGAGAATAAAATCAGATGTTAGAAACAAATTAAATAAATTGTAATAAACGTTTCTTTATTTTACTTTGCATAATAACAGTTTTGGGGTGCATCATACTGAAATAATAAATTAGGAAAAGAGAAATAAACTCAAATGTGTAATATTTCATATAAATTTTTACTTTCTATATAGGAAAGTCAAGTTTTTGTTGTACATCTTACCGCAGAATATGAAATGTCATTGTAAAGTCTCTAAAATATATTCATACATTTTAGAATAGATGAGCGAAATGTTATCATATTTTTGTTTTAAGTACTTTTATCTTGCCCAAACATGTAAAACCTGATCACAGCAGTAAGTTACGTGGAACAGAATTTTTGTTATGAACGGCTCTTTTTTATTATCTGTGTAAATATGTTTCATTTTTCTTAAAACTACTTTATGTAAAATTACTAAAATCATCATAAAGATCCCAGATATGAAAAATAAATCGCTAAATCTTTCGTATTTCTATTAAATTCGAACAAAAACTTGTAAAGAAATGCAATCTCTTTGCAAATTTAAAAAATAAAATACACGTTTACTCTAAGGTCATTTCTAACACTTGTTTCATAATCAGGTCAGCGCGAATCTTGATAAAATTTTATTAAATTACAGTGTTTAACGGCGTACACATTGTGCAAAGAGTGACAGACGGTTCCTTCAATCAGCGGTCCTTGGAGGGAGGGACTTCCGCTGACGAAAAATGGAATTGGCGGAAACCGCCTGCAGTAACCAACCGCCTTTCCTCACGTACTGTATCAGATCCAGGTCTCGCTGTCTGTCGGCCTGAAAAACGGACCGTGGACGGATAGAAACGAGCAGAACGAGGAGCGGTGCATAGAGGGACGACAAGATGCCGCACAACTTCCGGCCCGGGGATCTTGTCTTCGCTAAAATGAAGGGTTACCCTCACTGGCCGGCCCGGGTAAGAGCAGCGGGAGCTCGCGCAGGGTTTGCGGTGCTTTGAGCGCACACCCCCCCAACAGACCCTCCGCAACCAGCTCTAATTACCCTCTAATTTCCGAATGTACTCTGCATATGTGCAGATAAACCTGCAGTGTATGCTGATTTAGAAGCTAAGCGGGTGAAGGGATGTTTTGTTTTGTAGTATTTGCTTGGTAATGAATGTATGAAGCTAGCAGGCTGGCTAACTTGTTTGCTGGAGGAGCAGCTAAGGTCGCGTGATCGCAAAGTCCTGTTTATTTTAGTTGGGGGTCGTTTTTAGATGCATAATTTGGGAAATGGGAATAAGTCCTTTATTTGGAGATGAGAGTTTTGCATTGTTTTGATTTAATCACATGGAAAGTGTAAATGAAGGGGTGTTGAGTTGTAATGTTTACACATGGAGATACTTTGCTGCACGTGTTTCACTCTGTGCAAAGTGGAATATTCATGTGTAAAAGGATTTTTGTTTTTATGAGCTTTAAAAAAAATGAACATGCAAATCACCTTATATTATACGTTTTTGTTCTCGCAGATTGAAGATGTTGCAGACGGGGCTGTCAAACCACCTCCTAATAAGATCCCCATTTTCTTCTTTGGGACTCATGAAACGTACGTAAACATTATTTTGTTAAGTGTGCACCAGGTTGCTATTAACGAGTAAAGATCTCGTTATGAGCTTTACTGTATTCTTTTTCTTAATGTTGACTAATGAAGTATTTTTAAAAGTGTGGTTTGTGCAAAACGTGCATGGAGTAATCTTATCTAACCCCACAAGTCAACAGGTGCAAGTGTAGGACCCTTTTTAAGGCATAACTTCTGTGCACAGTCCATATGTGGATTTCCTTTCTTCTTTCATTTTGGTGTGCAGTTTTTATTGCTAAGGATGATATTATAAAGATTTTTAGTGATTTGTAAGCTGAGGTTCATATCTTTTTGATTTAAAAACAAACATGTCATCTCAACATGAAATGAAAAGTTAGTCTATCTGTTGTCCAGCTGTCTGTTATGCATCTCATTGTGAAAATAAGATTTGTGGATTAAATAGTTATTTTTTTTCCTCTTAAATGTAAACAAAGTGTTGTGACTGGATATTCCACTGTAAATTACAGACTTTTCCAGCCACAAAAATGAAAATGTTGTTTATATGAGTAACCCAAACACACAAAAAAGTCTTGTGTGTTTGGATGAAAGGTGTCATGAAAACATAATACTATTTAATATGTGACCCTGGACCACAAATGCAGTCTTTTGTTGCACAAGTATATTTTTGGCAATAGCCAAACATGTATTTTAAAGGTCATTCTTTCTCTTCATGCCAAAAATTCATTAGTATATAAATAAACATCATGTTCCATTTAAGATAGTTTTGTACAGTTCCTGCAATAAATGTATGAAACATATTATTTAATTAGCATTATACATTGGCAAGTGATTAATCTGAACAACTTTAAAGCTGTTTTTCCTCAATAATAGGATTTTTAAACCTTTAAATTCTAAATGAATGTATAAATCACAATTTCTATGACTTAAGTCATCTATGATCATAATTCTGAATTTAACTTTTAAAATGTTAACTACCTTCCAGAGCATTCCTTGCACCCAAAGACCTTTTTGCATATGAAAAAAACCAGGAACGCTTTGGGAAACCCAACAAAAGGAAAGGGTTCAACGAAGGCTTATGGGAAATCCAAAACAACCCCCATGCCTCCTATAACACCCCTGCTGTAAGTCTTCATTTCAACCTCCAAAATCATCTGTCGATTCTTAAGGGCTGTTCTGATTTGTCACATTATCTTGTATTTGTTTAGGCTGCATCATCATCGGACAGTGAGGACAACCAACCTGCTGCTGCAAGTGATGCGGAGGAAGAAGAGGAAGCAGTGGTACCAAGAAAAGCCGAAACGGGAAGCGATGATTCTGACTCCGGGAGTGAGGATCAAAAGAAGCCCGCAGTGAAGCGGAAAGCTCCTGCTCTAAAGGTATCAAAAAACACTAAACATCCCCAACATAAACATTTACAGTGTACATTTTTTAATTCGTTTCTTCACAGTATGATGTATTACACTTTCAGCTGCTTTGGTTTTCTGTTTTTAGAGCTGTTAATATCAAAGATTTAGTCAGTTAATGTCAGTGCGAAATCAAAATTAGTTTATTTTGCTAGCACTCATTGTTAGTCTGGTGCTTCTCATGGAGAGGACTGTTTGCCAGATATTTACAAAACTTTCTCTCAGCCGCCATTGCTGTTGTGTTTAGCTGTACACTGAAGCAGCATGACACATTTAAACTTCTGCCTATTGCAGCTCAGGGATTTCAGAATGTTATAAAACAGTATACCCTCACTCTGTTTTATCAATCTTCTTTTTGCCCTCAAACGAACAACACTGAGACCTTGAAGGTGAACAATGAATCCATCCAATTTAATCCACTGATAAAATATTTGTTTTGGTAATCTTCAATCATTGTCTGACCACTTGCTTCTGCAATGGAATGGTGGTCTTTAGCCTCAGTATTCTTAACCATGCCCCTCTTAAGAGCAGTACACTCTAAGTTGACGGCAAACAACTAGCACAGTTGAAACCCAGTCATGTTGTTTCCTCACATTGGCTTATGTCTGGTTTAGTCTATAGACCTTTTTCTTGGAACGCAAAATTACCCATGATGCTTTGCGTGTATGCGCAAGGAGAATGCTAAGAACTTCCAGTCAGCACCTGATGCATGTAAACAGTCACATTTGGACAGCTTTGAAACAATAGTTTTAATTTATTTTACCAGCTTTTATCATCTTTGAACTAATTCGGTTGTCCATCAGCACCATCTCCTGGACTGATCATTTAAAAAAAATGCGATCTAATAGGATGGAAAACAGCTGCTGTGAGGCGTTTTTCCCTCATTGTCAGACGGCATCTTCTGCCGTTTAAATGAAGCCTCGTCATCGCTAAAGTCAACAGTTTCTCTTTCTTTCAAATATATATAAACAACCCAAACAAATGTAGTTCACCAAAATGTTTGACAGACACATACGTAGCCTGTACTGTCCCACTGACCCACTGATTTAATAACTGTTACAACGTGAAAATATAGGTGTGTCATTTCGAAATGACAGAAAAACACAAACCGTAGTAAAAATAACACATGAAAAGAAACATAAACGGCTCGCGATTAGAATGAACAGCAAATCAGCCAGCAGAGGATCAGTAACAGACTTTTACTGGTCATTTTTGTAAATTGCATGACTTGCATAAGTTTCATGCTAATAATACAGTTTGCTCTATAATGCAGCGAAGTATTGTGTGTGTGTGTGGAAGTGGCCGGGAACACACACACACACACTGTATTTCTGACGGCAGACACGTGAACTATGAGAATGTTTTTCTCGTATTACTGACGGGCTTGAACCACATCTGACAAATTAAAACGGCTTTAACAGACACATTTCTAAGTTTTGTGTCACAAAAACACTCTGCAATATATTAAAAACGCTATTGAAACCCATTTTCAGAGCGCAAATTACCAGTTGTAAATGCTGTAAATGGAAGTTTTTAGCATTCTACTGGAAGACGCTGGTCGCTATGGCGCCCACCATGCAGCAGCCATGAAAAAGGTCTATACCAAAAAGCTGCACACAAACACACCAAACTCGGCGGCAGCTGACTGATTCAAGAGCATTTGTTCTGCACCTGCTCAAGAGGACGTGTCTTTCAGCACCGCAGGGGGCAGTACCGGAACGTCTGATGCGTACATGCAATGCATAAACAAAGCAGTGTTCAGTACAACTATCACAGTAATTGCCACTAGCTACAGAGGGATTTCCTTCTGCAAATATTTCTCATAATCTAATAATCCATGTAATTTGCAAATATTTGAGAAATAAAGTTACAGCCGGTGTCTTTGTGTTCCTTTTTGACTTTGTTTACTTGCTACGTTGCTTCACCACATCACACTTGCACTCTGATTTGTTGCTAAATAGCCAGTGTTCAGCTGATGCCGATTCGGCATGTTGAATTGAGTTTAGGAGCTCCAATGTTAACCTGATGAGAGGTGATTTGTAAACGCATCAATCCAACTAGCCAGGCTGATGCTAACCGATGAAGCACCGTGGATTTCAAAGGAAGGCCAATGTGTGTCCTAGACTTTACCTCTTGTTTACTATGAGGGAATTATGTGCAAAAAGAAAGCCCCCCCCCCTACTCTATATTCTGTTTCAGTTAGAAGCACATCAACATACTGAAATAAGTCTCAGCAATTTTGGATTCATGCAGACATTAAGAAAAACAATACCATCAAACTTTTCCAGAATGTTAACTTTGCTGTTAAGCTAACATGTTAGACCTGAAAAAAGCTGCTCATGTCACTCGTATAAATCAATTTATGATGCTTTTGTGTCTTTTTAGAAGTTTAAAATCTCTAGTTTATCTTGTTTTTTATAATTGATTTAAAAACAATGTGTATATAAAACTATACAGCGGCCACCAGTGAAGAAAGCACGGGCATCATCCAGTGATCGAGATGGAGAGGAGAGTGGATCTCCCTCAGAACCAGAACCGTCACCCAGCTCAGACTCGGACTCCGGCAAAAACAGTGACCAGGTATATCTGCGGGGAATTTGCTGCAAAACATCATGTTAACCTTACCTGTACCCTGTCCCGATTTTAAGCACGTTCAAATTGCATTAATGAGTTACCAATGTGTTCTCCAGGACTTCACACCACAGAAAGAGTCAGGCGGTCGAGGAGGCAAAAAGCCAGCTGGCAGGGGCAGGAGGAAGGTAAGAAGACCTCATTGTCCATCTCAATTCACAGCTGGGTAGATTACATTTGAATTGTAATCAGTTTCTGATTCCAAATTAAATGAAAAGTGATTTTTTAACGTTTAGATCACACATTTATGACTACTTTTGGATTACATTTGGATAACTTTCCTGCTAACGTAGGGTGTCCGCGGGTTCTTAAAAGGTTTTAAAAGTTGATAAATAAATTATGAGAAAATGAAGGCACTTAAAATGTATAAAAAAGTCTCAATCGCTTATTTATCCAAAGTGCTTGACTCCAAAAAAGCATAAATATATAAATTTTCCTCCTAATATTAACATCGCCGTGCTTAATTTGTTCGGGCCGGGGCACATCTGGCCAAGCTCCTCCATCTGGGTGGTGTCACATAATTTGAGACAAACGTGGGAAGGTGATGTGACTCTCTTCACATGTAGAGGAACCATAGAGTGAAACAGACTGCAAAATGGGAAAAATGTAAATTTGCGTACTCCTGGATGGAGAAAGACGAGTTAAAACAGTGGCTGAAGCCTGTCGCTGAAAACAACCATGTAATTTATTCTTTCAAGTTTATCTGAGTTCGGTTGCATGGTTGTGCACCATTGATTTATTTAACTGTTAATTAACAACAGTTTATTAAGTGAAGGGTTTGATACTGATTAGAACTTAAAGTGACAATGAGGTCTTAAATATTCTGCGAAAGTCTTAATGTATTGAAATTATCTTTAGGATTCCTACATATACCCCAGAGATGTAGAGTAATCTCATACTATTTTGATGAATATAAAGAAAATTTGTTCTTTATAACCAACAAGAATTTTAACAGCTTTTTTTTTTTTAAAGTGAAATGGATGGACAGTTTTCATTCTTTCATTCATTTTCTTGTCGGCTTAGTCCCTTTATTAATCCGGGCTCGCCACAGTTTAATGAACTGCCAACTTATACAGCACATTTTTACACAGAGGATGCCCTTCCAGGCGCAACCCATCTCTGGGAAACATACACTACGAACAATTTAGCCTACCCAATTCAACTGTACCACATGTCTTTGGACTGTGGAAAAAAACCCGGAGGAAACCCATGCGAACGCAGGGAGAACATGCACACACAGAAACGTCAACTGACCCAGCCGAGGCTCGAACCTTCGAGCCAGCAACCTTCTTGCTGTAAAGGCTGATTTATACTTCTGCGTCAAACGCACGCGTATGCTACTGTGTTGACGCCCTACGCCGTGGCCGTCGGCGTCGCTGATGTGCACCTCTCAAAAAAATGTGACTACACATCGCAACGACGTGTAGTGCAAGCTCTGTGATTGATCTTCTTGGTAGCGCTGATTAGTCTCGCAGAACCGAGAGCCTTGCGAGCCCGATGGAGTGATTGTTTACAAGTGTGAAGTCCCGTGAAGGAGCTTTGGATGGAAAGTTTTGTTTTGTGTTTACCACATAGTTAAAGTTGTTGCACTTCTGCCGGTTCCTGCCTCAAAATGAGCGAGTTTGAGACACTTGTACATTCAGGAAGTGTTCAGGAAAAGCAAAACATTAGCGAAGAAACTTGACACAAAGGAGCATTAACACCTCACTGCCAACTAGCGTTTTGGAAGTAGTAATGCCGACCAACAGAGACGCGCAGAAGTATAAATGCACAGCTACGCGCGTTGCATGCGCCGTGGGTTACGCCGGTCATTTGACGCAGAAGTATAAACCAGGCTTTAGGCGACAGCACTACCTACTGCGCCACTGGGTCGCCGGATGGACAGTTAATACTTAAAAATTACTAACAGTTTTTGCTTATAGTAGAACTGAGTAAAATCATAAGGTGTGGTGAAACATTTATATACAATTTAGTAAATTCAGAAAATAGCAACTGTACAAAGATGCTACATCCAAAATTTAATTAAAAATTAATGCTAGATTTGGATGTGACAGAGTTGAGGGAAAAAAATCGTTAATTGCGGGAGTTACGTTCTAAAAATATCCCTCAACAGGTGAAATCCGTGAAGTATTCAACTTTATTTTTTACAATTATTCTAGATGATTTAAGGCTGTAAAAAGCCTCACTACACACTTATTGCACTTTTCTCAGACAGGCATTACTATTTTCACACTTTTCTCTCTTGTTTAAAACTCAAAATTCATACCTTTGTAAAAAAATAAGTCCAGTAATGAAACCACAGATCAAAACCATTTGATCTTCATTTATTCCATATAGGCGCCCTACAGCTGCGTAACTTCTACCATCCTTATGCATTTCCAGAAGTTCATTTTTGTTCAATGGTTAGCATCTTCCTCTGCCTTTTTGGTGCCATTGCAGGTGCCTTTGACGGTGCAGAGCTTTTCATCGACATTGTGAGGAGAAAACTTGCAAACATACAGTACAGTACTTCAGAGTTACACTGCTAGCGATCAGATTTATGTAAATTTGGCAAGCTGAACGGACTTTGTATTGTACAGAAGACACAGCATGGAGGATATTGATTGACAATGGTCTACAGCCAATCAGGACGCAGAACACAATGCGCTAACCATGTCAAATTACATTAAAAATATCTGGAAAACTGTTAATATAAACGATTAAACGTTTAAAAAAATGGAAAAATTACTGTTTATTTACTGCCATTTATGTAAATAGTATGTAATCCATAAAGTAGCTATTGTGAAAGTAGTTTACTCTAATTACAAATACTTGATATTTAGAACCAGATTACGTAATCCAGATTACATGTAATCCGTTACTACCCAGCTTGCTCTCTAATTACACACTTTTCTTGTTATTAAACTGTTTTTGTATCTTTTCAGAAGGCGTCTTCTGGCTCTGATTCAGACTCTGGGTCTCAGTCGGATCAGAAGGCTGCCAGGAGCGATTCAGAAGATGAAAAGCCACGACCAGCTGCTTCCGGATCTGAATCGCAGTCTGGATCCAAATCGGACTCCGATTCAGAGCCTCCTCCTCCTCCTCCCCCTACAAGAAAAGCCCCACAAGGACGCAAGAAAGGTGAGACCGCTCGCTTTGCAACATGAACTCAGAACATATTATAATTAGTTTTAATGCTTGAGTAACTGCGCTGAATAGCAGCAGCGGATGGAAACTTTACCTGAGACAGTTGTCCTCGGCACTCGGATATCAGGAATCCTAGACAGGTACATCAGAATGCTAAAGGACGCTTTCTTTTTGCGTCATTTTCCAAGCGGAGAAACCACCACCAAAGCCACGGGCAAGGAAACCCAAACCAGCTCCAGAACGAGCTCCTTCCTCATCATCAGATAGCGATAGGTGAGTTTGTTTTTAAGCATTTTTTATTTTTATACTTATTTCACTTGCTATTAACATGGTTTTGATCGCAAGTGGTCAAGCAAGATGCATTATTGTTTCCACCAGGTTTTAACACACTTTAACCACTTTAGATTTTATCGAGGCCCTTTTCTATTTTATCACACTCTAAATTACTCCCACAGGAGTGCTCAAAGTGGCACAAAAGTACAATTGATACACAAACAACATGTCCAATAATAAAATGCTCTGTGAGTAGTGGAGAGATCATGTTTTGTGCAGGGTGTCCATCTGGGGTTGATAATAGTCAATTTAGAGAAATTTAGGGCCCTTAAAAACGATTTAAAAGTCTTAAATGCTATTTTACGTGGGATTAAACTGTATCTTTTTTTAGATTAAACACTGTATAGTTCTATGATAATGTGTGCTTGCATTTAATCTGCAAACTTGTGAATATCGAGCTGGTGTGTAGTTTAGGGTTGTGACGATGAGGAAATTTCCCCACCGGTTAATCGGCATGTGACAACACCGGTAATACCGGTATCACCGTGGGAGTGGGCGTTTCTTCTTTTCCTCTTTTGTTCTGCTTTTAAATAGCTTATAAATGCGTGCGTATAATACTTTCACTTTCAGTTTTGCGGGAGTTGCCAATTTGGCGTCAATTGTTTGAATGAACGAAAAGCAAACTACAAAAAAAAAATCACTGTTATTAAACAACACATAACTTTTATTAACATAACGAATAAAACAACAATGCTACAGGCTGAAAAAACTGTGGAAGTTGGAACCATACAAATAACAACCATAAACACCTAAATTATATATTAACAGCTTAGTCCTTATGATATGAACAATCCGTTTATAAAATACATTGTTAACGAATCTATAGGTTATTGAAGAATAAACCGAATGTGAAATATGATCCTTGCATAATGATCACAACTAAACAAGTTGGCACTCATTTTGTATATAAACTATATATGGCACTCATTTTATATATAAACTATAAATAAAAAATAATAATGAAAATCTTAAAAAATTTAACATTATTTAAAAAAATGTAAAGACTACAGGCTGAATAAAAGCGCCATGTCAGAGCTAAACATCACCGCACACGTGTCAGTTTACAGCTTCTGTAAAGTTCAGACATCATATACAGATCACACAATCTCAATAAACAACATGTAAATGTATAAATATTTCGATAAGTATTGTTATGGAATATTTATACCTATATGATCTTGCTTTTTTGTTATAATACCAGCTTTGATCTCTCTTAAAAGCGGCAGTTATAGGCGCTGCATAAGGGCGTCTTACACTGTCAGTGGCGGAATACACACAGCACTGGCAAGACGTTTTATTTTTAGTTTTATTTGTTGCAGATTTGCGCGTTGTTCTATTTAAAAAAAAAAAACTTTTCTTTTTAAAATCTCTCAAGTTAATGTTGTCTATGGAGTAACATAATCTCCCTCGGATTGTAGTTCGGTGCGCAGTAAGATGGACCATCACCGCCCTGTAAGTTAACACACTGCATATTGTAGGTCCACAGCTCTGGTGTGTTATGAATTACATGTTTTAAATGACAGCGAGACATGCTACGTTTAGTTTTTATTGTAAAATATAGATTATAACCCAGTACACAGTAAAATGATATTTTTTAAATTGTTTGCCTATTGACGGCGTATAGGCTAACCGTTAAACTTAAGGCAGCATATTTTTATAAATATTAAAACACATTACAAGAAACTAGCCACCCTTTGATTTTTTTCGTTTACATATATTTTTATCAAACGAAAAATGCAATGAATAGTTTATTTTTTGTTTTCATTTTATTAGAAATAATATAATTTAAAGGCTACACAACTCCTCCACAGCTCCAATTGCATTTTGACGGATTTCCTAGATAGACTTTCTGGCTTAAAGACATTTATTTCAGCGCTGTATTTTGACAGATTTCGCAAAGGCTTCAGCTATTCTACCTGTCAGCTGGTACCAGCCTCAGTTTTGTTAGCTACTTGACTCGTTAGGCGTCTGTGTCTGGATGACAGCGATAGAGAGAGAGATGAGATCAGACCTCAGATTCGATGTGTGGCCGCAAGTCTCAGTTAATTTATTGCAATTTTTAATATTGGCTCATCTAAATTAACTTTTCATTTATTAAAAGCCGAAATATTGCTAGAGAGACGAAGCAACTTTCGGTTTTTGAAGAGAGCGTCCTCAGTGATAAGACGCGCGCACACACAGGTTAGCCCACACTCTTGTCAGCCTATTCTTTATTGATTTTTTTTTAACATTAAACGCATATTAATCAATTGCAACAAAGAACAGCTGAAAAAGTGCTCATGGCTGTTGCCGCGAGTTGCTTTGTTTCTCTGCAGTTGGCTCATTAATGGCGCGGCATTGCTAAATCCCTTTTTTTTTTAATAAATAAAAAAAGATAATTTATTATTAAACATGGTGAGATGATGGTCGCATGATTTTTTAAATGAGAGTATGCGTTGCGTATTTATGGCTATTCATCTTATCTACCCGCGACCCACACATAGTTGAACATCAAGTGTTGAAAATGAGTGTATAAATTAGTTGTTTCCTCCAACTGCTGCCACCTTTTCAGCAAAGTTTGCAGATTGCCTCATTAACGTCTTCAGGTTCTCTTTTTGCATTTGGTTTGAACCCAAAATATAGCCAAACAGGCGCTTTTGCATATCGTTTTGACACTTAATCGTCCGCCATTCTCTTTCTGTAAATTCGACTCCTCTCGTTCTCTTGATGTGATAAATGAAATATGACGCATTGTAGCTATGTTCAGATGATAATTATAGTGCATGCTCTCGTCTTAAGTAAATAATTTAGAATTATGTTTCCCATTTAATTCAAATAAATATTTAAATTAAAAAAAACGAATACTTAAAAAAAAAAACAAATGTGGGGATGGTGTCCCGGTGAAAAAGTGATCGCACCGGTGTTGCGTCTTAAAACCGGTATCACCGTCAACACTGTCTATCGTGGCAAGCCTAGTGTAGTTTGTAAAATTGGTTAAAAGCCTGCTAGATTTGATGTCACACTATTTGTTTACCGCAGTAAGCAAGGAAACAACGTTATTCCTGCGGTTCTATAGGCAGCACCTGCTGGATTAGCATTTTTATTCATTATATGAATAATGTTTTTGACAATCTGTGTTTAGTAAATATATTGTAAGTTAATAAGTTACCAATTTTGCCGGTTGAAACCTAAAGTGGCAATGAGATCTTAAAATAGGTCTTAAAAGTTATTGAATTTCACTCTCTGGTCCAATCCAATTCTATTTTGTACCCCTTCCCCTTGAGTGTGAAGGAGAAGGGCTTTAAAATTTACCCCTAAGAAATGGGACAACACTACAGCGCCTGCACATGGCATCATAGATGATCACGATCTCTTGCTTCATATGAAATCGATGATGGCGACTGCTATAGTTATTCCAGTTGTGTTATTTTTTTGGTGTTTATCTTCAGGAACTCACTAAAGGCAACAATATCATGTTGTCACAAAGATATAATGTGACAATATGATTGTGTCTGTGGCAATGTTCATCCATGTAAACACACCAAAAATAACATTAACGTTATACCAGACACTGTAAAAAGCCCATTTTCAGCCACTAGACTTTTCTAACAGGGTATTCAAGTGTCATTGATTGACTGAATGTTGTGGGACTGCTGTACACTAGTTATTATTAGGGATTATAGATAGCGAAATCTAGCGTTTTTTAATTTAGCGTTTCTTTTTTAAAGCATGATGTTTAAACATGAACGCGGTTATAAATGTATTAAAACATGTGTTTGTTTGTTGTAGAACTGCATAATAATGATTAAGAATTTTAATTTGTGCATCTCCTGACTTCCCTGTGCAGCCATGCTGCTGTTGTGGCTGCATTCTAGAAATTTTTTGTACCCCTTGGTTTCCAGTGTGGTTCTGAAAAATCTCAGTTTCAAGGGCTATCTAACTCTTCCTATTAGCCCTACACCTTCAAGCTAAAGAGAATTAAGACACTCCTACCCCTTTCTCGTGAATGTGCAAAATGAGGGGTAGAGTTAAGGGGTCGAATTGGGATTGGGCCTCTGATTCTTGTAGATACCTTTTTGTGTCTGTTCAAACATTTGAGTGTTTACACTACAGAATCAATCCAAGCAAGTGCATTTTCGATATCTGGACATGCTTAAAACATCTTCAAATTGATGAAAACAATGTCAGGTGTAAATAGTAGATTAAATCTAATTGGCTACTGTTTCTAAGAGCTTATATAGTATACAATGCGTCATTTGCAAAAAGTTTTAAAAACTATTAAATAAATTGTATTTGCAGCTTCATTTGAAGCAAATTATGCTCATGTTTGACTAGTAGATTTAAACAAGCAGGTTTTATTTTCCATTGTTTCTTAAAGGATACTGCTACTGTTGTTAATAAATGAATACTGCTACACATCTCTGGGCATGTGACCAAAAGCACAATTTCTTTTCTTCTCAATGCAATGAAAGTTACACCTCACTTTTCTTGAAAAGTAATCATATTGGCTGCATGCACATGGTACTGTTGGTGTGAACAAGCATCAATTCAAAATAAAAGGTTTATCGTTAAATGAACTCTTGCTTTGAACATTCAGCCTGGCCTTTAAGTTAAAACATTTTTATTAAATTAGGTGGCTGCTGTTTTGTTTTTAAAGAACACATTATATGCGCTCTAGGATTTTGAATGTAATTTCACTGAATGATTTGAAGTATTGAAAAAGTATTAGAAGTTCCTTATCATGGTGAACATGTTAATCCAATTAAAGAGACAGTTCACCCAAAAAGTAAAATTCTGTCATCATTGACGTATTCCAAACACACAAAAGAGGATATTTTGAAGACAGCAGAAAACCTGTAAGCATAGTAGGAGAACAGTAAATACTATAAAAGTCAATGGTTACAGGTTTCCGGCATTCTTCAATTGTTTCTTTTGTGTTCAACAGAACAAAACCTGGTTTAGAACAAGTCTAGGGTGAGCAAATGATGACAGAATTGTGTTTTTTTTGTGTCAACTGTCTCTTTAATTGGATGAACATGTTCACATTATCTTCAAAGAACATCTAACTATTCAGTGAAGTGCATGGATTATCATTTGTGCTTCATTTTTTTTACAAAGTGACAGCGACACAGACCGCGTCAGTGAGTGGAAGAAGAGAGACGAGGAGCGGAGGAAGGAGCTGGAAGAGCGGAGAAAGAGAGAGGAGGCCGAAGAGCTCCGCCGGCTCCGGGAGCGAGAGAAAGAGGAGGAAGAAAAAAGGAAAAAAGACAAAGAGACCAAGGTGAGGAGAGGAAGCAGCAGCAGTGGTAGCAGCTCCTCGGACGATGAAGTAGACGATCATCCTCTCAAAAAATCTAAGAAACCTCCGCCTCCACCCATCCCTGCACCGTCTGACTCGGACTCGCCACCCCCCTCAGAGGCAAGTAGACCAGAACTTTCCATTAAACAGTTTCTGTGAGTGTCTTTTCTTAACATGTTAACCTGATGTTGCATTTCAGCTGAAAAAGAAAAAAGAAAGCCAAAAAGGGCGGCAAAAGAAAGAGAAGGAGGTGAAGGAGAAAAAAGAGAGACCGGTCAAAGAGAAGAAGCCACAGAGATCAGAGGAGAAACACAAAGCAAAGTATGTGTTCATACAGCAACTGAAATCATCCGAATCATTTATAAATGTACACTAACTAGTAGGGATGTAACGGTATTGTAAATACCGTCATACCGCAATATTAATTTTTTTCGATATTATCGAAGTCGCATGACTCGGTAAAACTATAGGTCTTCTGAGAAAATTTGCTCAGGCGAATGAAGCGAACGGGAGGTACCGGAAACTACAATTCCCATCAGCCCAGGCTTGGCCATAATCCCTTGTGGTCTGTTGTCGCTACAGATCGAGTAATGCGGAAATGGAGTGTGCTGCTAGAAGCGGGGATCAAAAAGAGCTGGAAAACCCTAAAGCGGGTGTTGTCGCCGCGCGTACTGAATAGTGGTGTTGTCGCGCGCGTACTGTAAAGCGGGGACGGAGGGTATGTCGCGTCGCGGGGGCACTTTTGATCATTTTGGAAGGGAACTTTCTATCCAAGACTAAAAAGGGCATGTGCACTGCACAGGTTGAGCACTGTGTGTGCACATGCCTGCAAGTTGGGGAATACGACTAATCAGTCATGGGGACTGCAGAAACACAGCACACTGTTCAGATTGATGCAGACATGAGATCTCTTTCTCACTCATGGTTTGTCCTCTCAAGTGGGGGAAAGACAATGCACAACGTTCCCCATTGCTAACAACCTGGGCCAAGTCATATCTCTCTTGTCCCAGAAACCTCAGTCCCAAATGAGAGGGTTTTTTTTCTGTTGCAGGGGACATTGTAAATACCCAGAGATACCAGCTTTTACCAGATTATATTTATATGATAATTTTCCTTTAAACCCATCTCTATCTAAGTGAGTGAGTGATTAAATGTTGAATGTGATGAGTTTTCAACACTACTAAATTGAAACTTAATTTTTTTACATGGTTTAATATTTTTTTGTTATTAAAATTGAAGTTCCTGTTTCAAAGCTTACAGATAGATGACTAATTTGTATGTCATTGACACTTTTGACACTTTTCTGGAGTATTTTCATAAGTTTTGTTTTTTCCTGTAAATGATTCAATAAATACCGTACCGTGACATTCATACCGAGGTATTACCGTACCGTGAAATTCTGATACCGTTACATCCCTACTAACTAGTAATATTCAATATTTGGCTTTGTTTTTGTTTTCATTTGTTTATCTTGTTAAATGTTTCAATTAAGTGGTTCACCCAAAAATAATGTTTCTGAAGAAATTCTAAACTGTCTATTTATTTTTAAGAATCAAGGTTCCCTCGCTTTTTGAAAGTTCTTGAATTTCAGACATTATTTATTCAAGGCCTGGAAAGTACTTAAAAACAAACATAGGTCCTTGAAAGTCCTGAAATTAAATTTTTTCATGGCTTTATTCCAATAATTATACTCGATTGTCAAAAAAAAAAAAAAGAAAATCTTAAAATGAAATCTTGTACTATGACACTGTCAAATAATGCACATTTTAGCAATATTTGACAGATCACATTTTTACCATTTTTACATTTTTATTAACATTTTACTATTAATCACAAATCATAATTGAAATAAAATGACAGACAATGCCTATTTTAACAATGCAATGCTAAGGAAAGACGGAATAAATTTATATATATATTTTTCCTAATCACTGTTTAATGGCGGGAAGATTTTATCAGCACATTTCTAAACATAATAGTTTTAATAACTCATTTCTAATAACTGATTTGTTTTATCTTTGCTATGATGACAGTAAATAATATTTGACTAGATATTTTTCAAGACGCTTCTATACAGCTTAAAGTGACATTTAAAGGCTTAACTAGGTTAATAGGCAGGTTTGGGTAATTAGGCAAGTTATTTTATGACGATGGTTTGTTCTGTAGACTGGAAATCGACTTGAGATCGGAAAAAAATATAGCTTAAAGTTGCTAATACATTTGATCTTAAAATGTTTTTATAAATAAAAACTGCTTTTATTCTAGCCGAAATAAAACAAATAAGACTTTTTCCAGAAGAAAATATACTTTTGGAGATACTGTGAAAATTTCCTTGCTTTGTTAAACATCATTTTGGAAATATTTAAAAAAGGAAAACATCAAAGGGGGGCTAATAATTCTGACTTCAACTGTACATAAATACTAAATTAATAATAGCAATACTAGGAAATATAAGTAAATAAATAATTAACAAAATGAAAATGTATAAAAATAAAATAATGGTAAAATAAAATGCATAAATTTAATTATGACATGCGTTAACCCACAATACAGCTTAAAGAAACATCAATACAATCCAGGTAAGGAGTCCAGATTTGATGAAAAGCCCCAGTGGACGTATGAATAACACATGTAAGGAATTCTAAGTGAATCATTTCCTTTATTGTGCTAATCTTTTTCAAGGATATGGAGTTTGTCACAGATCTAGTTGATCAGTTCAGCTTGTTTATTAATAAAAAAAAACTCTGAATTTAATCTACTTTGAAATTATAACTTGAATCTAATAAGAGCATGTACGTTTTAATTTCCAATACCAACTGTTTCCCACAAGGCCTAAAGCCGAGAAGCCGAAACGGAAGCCGGTGCGTCCACCTGAGAAGAAAGTAGAGAAGAAAAAAGGTCACTTGAAGCTTGTTCTCCTTACGGTTCAGTCTCTTTAAATCATTTTTATGGTAATCACGCTGTAACTCTCATTTCTGTCGCCCCTGTGTACCATCAGAGCCCTCGCCAGAAGAGAAGTTACAGAAGCTCCACACAGACATCAAGTTTGCACTAAAAGTTGACAACCCGGTAAGTTGTGATATCACAAGCCTAAGTATGCTGCTTTCTTTTGGACCATTTCTGCGAATGTCCAACTTCATTATCATCAATAGTCATTTAAAAATTTGTCATCAATTGTCATTTAAATTTTTAATTAATGTTATGTGCTTTTGTCATTTTTTAGTTATTAAAGCATTTTATGTTCATATTTAGGTTTAATTACTTGTTTTATTTTTCATTCATGTCCTTTAACATGTTTAAACTTATTATTAAATATTTCCAAGAAATCATAAACTGGTTTTGATTTTTATGTCATATATTATCATTATTATTATTATTTATGTATTTTACCTTGTGTTTTATTTATTGCTGTTGGTGAATTTTAATTTTTTGAAAATTTTTTTTTAACTATAAAAAAAAAGTGTAATTTATAAAATGTGGTAAACTTGGTTTGTTTTTTGTCATGGCATAGCCAAAGAAGCTGAAATGGCAATAAAGTCAAAATTCACTCTCTCGCTCTCAATATTTTCATGACGTTATTTATTTAATAAACCAACAATATTTATAAGGTAAAATACATACATTTCTTTGTGCTTTAATTTAAACTAAGTTTTGATTAACACACATATTTTTAATTACATTAGTAATGATAACAATGCTCTTCATGGCAAACAACAAGCCCTCATTTTTATTCCCATGTGACTTCTAAATAGACAAAACACTTATGTTTTTAGGCCATGTATTTCTATACATCTGAAAGTGGCCTGATTTGCCTTTTCTTTGATCTCATTCTATGGCGTGTGCTTTTTTTCAATCTTTAGGACATTGAGAAGTGTCTACAAGCCTTGGATGAGCTCAGCTCGGTACAAGTGACCACTCACATCTTGCAGAAGAATGCTGATGTTATTGCCACCCTCAAAAAGGTACAACCTCTTACCAATTTATTAGTGTTTTCTAGAGTTTGCAATTAATTGTAAAAACGTTTTGAGAGAAATTTCTTTTGATAATGATTGAAGGGATGGTTCACCCAAAATGAAAATTGCTCAAGTTCTTTTCTTTTGTAGTAGATTTTCAATAATGTAATTCTAACTGTCAGAATGTTTTTATGGAAATAACAATTTCTAATAAGCTAAATGACTAGGCCTTAAACTATCACTGCTAAATATTAATATTAGGTAGATGATCCAGCACAAATGTTTTTCAAGAAAGAATCCGGAAGCCATTGACTTCCATAGTATATTTTTCCCACTGTAGAAGTCAATAGCTACTGGTTACCAACAATCTTAAATACATTCAACAAAAAAAAAAACCTCAAATATTTTGAGGTAATTATTAAATAATGTTCCCATCTTATATGTAGTACACTTTTTTTTATTTTTCTTCTAGATTCGTCGGTACAAAGCCAGCAATGCAGTCATGGAGAAGGCCACCGCAGTCTATAATAAACTAAAGCTTCAGTTCATTGGCAAAATTGAGACTGGTAAACCAAAACCCAATGAAAAGAATCAAGAAGAGCAAGACGCACAAAACACAGGTGAACGCTGTGAAACAGTTTTATAATGAATCTCAAGCAATAAAACATATAGACAGTTAATAACGTTCTGCATATACCTTTGTCTATTTCCACCTAGACGATTCCAAACCAGTGAATGGAGAATCCGAAGGAGAGAGAAAAGACGTTTCTGAATCTGAAAGCAATTCCAAACCCACAGACCAAGACAACCCGGATGAGAACAAATCCCCAAATGGCATCAGGTGAAGGCATCGTAGGAACTTTTTCTTAGTTCCTAGAACTATTGGTAGAAGTATTAAATTTTTTGGCATGTTTGCCCCACATAAAATGGGATCAAATTTAGTTTTAGGAAAGCCATTTTGGGCAACTGATTTTAGTTTCTACTTTAGAGTAGGGTTTAATTGGAACTACAGTGACTTAAGTTTGCGATGATTCAATTAGCTAATGTCAGCAGCATTTACCTGTTGCGTTCTCTTTCACCCTTGATGTGAAGCACTACAAAGGTTGCAATTGCTCCTTATTTTCAAACACATAACTTATATGTCCACCTTCAGTCTCCGTTATCATGAAAAGCGTGACCCGCACAATGAAAACGCTGCTTTGACCACAGAGTTTTACAACCTCCAGGTGTTGATTTTGTTTAATGCAGCACTTTAGCTGTCACTGTCAGCTGGCTTGCGTTGCTGCAGATACGACTAGGAAAACGGTCTTGGAGGAAATTAGTTGTTGGGGAACTGGAACTTGTGGCTGGTTCATGTTGCTGTTACTACGTGATGCAAAAGCCCCTTTTCACTCTGTTTTAAAATGCTCTATTATCTTACTCTGCTACAGAGTTTTTGAAGATGAAAATGTTTCCCCAAATAAAAGCTCTATTTTTAAACTTTGATCTTCAATGAAATCCTTGATCGATGGCTTTGTTTCCATCAAAAATCGGGATTGAACTTTTACATAAAACTTGGATGTTGCCTAAAGCATTTGCGAGTGACGATTCCATTCAATGTTTCCATTCAACAAAATTGTCCCTTCCTGATAAACTAGTCAGATATAAAAAAAAAAAAAGACTTGTGCCTCAGAAGACGAAGACCCAATGCTATAGACAAAGACACAACACACTTCTGGATGTAATAATATTGAACCACTTTGATGATATATTTTGGGATTTTACACAGCAAAATATGGGGACCCAAAACAACTCTATGGGTGTTAATTTCAACACTTTGAAAGTGTCTCATGGGGTCCACTCAAAACAAAGTTAAATCAACACTATCAAAAGGGTTGGCACATTGACACCGAAGTAAGGGTTAATTTTAACTCTGGGCAGAGTTAAAAAATTTAACTATATTTAACACCGCCTGGTGTAATATATTATTTTATTCAACTCTCTTGAGTGTAAATATGGTAAAAAGGTCAAATAGACTGTAAATTACAAAAGAAAAAACATTTTATTTGAAAACATTCACCACTTCAACAATTCATTCAGTTTTTAAAATGCAACAATGTCAAATATGCTTTAAATGTTTTATTAGTACAGACAGTATCAACAAAATATGTATGACCAGTGCTCAAAAAGGCTGTTTCAGTCCTTTGGTCCAAACTTGATGTGTTATCAGAGCAATTTGAAAGTTCAATATAGCGTCACTCATAGTTTACTTCTGAACTCATAGTTTTCTTCTGAAATTACATTTTAAACAACTTGGCGTGCAAATCTTTCACTTCTGGTGTTTCCTTGGTCCTCCATATCAAACAGAGCAGTTTAAATGAAGGTATAAATGCTGTAAACTTGTGTGAAAACAAACTGGAGCTAGGAAATCTCATCAAGCATGTCCTGTGAATGAAGTGCTTCCCAGCCACAGGATGACCTTTTTATCCATGACGATGTAGTAGCTGCTGACCGCTCGTCTGGTGGTTCCTGATGCACGGATATAGGGTGATGCTCATCTAAGAACTCTTCAAGACTCCAGCATGACTAAGAAAAATGTTTGAAAACAAATTGCAATCAAATTCTATGATATATTTAAAAGAACATTTAAAGTAAATAAAACATTCAAGAAATCTAAACTCACCTTTTGAAAATCTTCATGATGATCCACAACTTGACTCTCCCAGCTGGTTGAGGTGACAGGATATGGAAAAGTAGAAAAAACACATATATCACTGTTGGATCTCCAAAAACAATTAGGTTAACCACTATGACTAGAACTGGAAAAACAGGCAGCTGTCTGTCCAGAATCCTCAATTTAACACAACACTTGGAGCAAAATTTAGAGGAGCTTAAAATCTTTTATATCATTTAGTGATGCTGACTTCCCCAAAATATTGGCCACAGTGTAAAAAATATTCATAAACTTCATAAACAACAGTTTTCTGTAAGCGTGTGCGTGCGTGTGTGTGCGTGCGTGTTTCTTTACCAGATTCAACTTGTTAGGCCCTTTCAGGTCCAGTATTGACACCACCTTTACTGTAGTCTAGCAGATGTTTCAGGTCCAAATATAATCTAAAATATTAGGATAAGCAGAAGAGGAAAAGTGCAAAGCAAAGAGCAAAACATTATTTAAGTAACAGTTCACCCACAATACAAAACTTATCACCGTCATGTCATTTGTTATTCTCTAATGCTCTAATACCCTCGCAGCTTATTGTGAAACAAATACAGAACTTTATCAAACATACCTTCATTATTATCACCACATATGACCAAGAAGGTGTGCTTGGTCATTTCACCAACTCTGGAAATACACCATCCGTCTCTAATCAGCCACCGTCACAGGGTCTTGTGTTATTGTATAGAGAACTGTGGCTGTTAAAAAACAACAACACATTAGTATCTAACACATATGCATAACCTTCAGATAAAAAAAGAGAGATGAACATCACAAAGTATGCCTCACACTTTTTCAGATATCTTTTGATTCAGATGTTGATTATTGATAATAAATCTACAAATCAAACCTGTATCATCATTAGGCTGCTCAAATATGAATCAGTTGATTAATTTTACAGACAGGTGGCTGTTTACAACGCACTAATAAAACGGAAATGTTGTGTACAGTACATGCTAAGTTTAGCCTATAGTTTTAAGCACATTATCATGCGGGAGAAAAAGCTTGACTAAGATTTTCCTGACTACAGAAATAGCCTAACTTACTAACGTCAGACATCCCGAGTTGGGAAAAGTAATTTTCGGGGGATACAGAGTTGATTTGCGGGAGGTAACGGGAGAGATGAGTACCTAAAGAACAATGGGATGAGTTGCGCGCGACTTACCTGAAGAGCGGTGGGGGTGACTTGCGCGCAACGTACCTGAAGAGCTGGGAGGGATGCGGTGGACATGGGTGTGCAAAGTGTTTAATGACCGGGCGGGAGACGCGCGATTTCCGGGAGATTATCATTCATTTGCGGGCATCTACTTGGGCATCTGGGAGTCTCTGTGCATTTGCGGGATAACGTTAATGTTAGTCCCACAACTTCCGGGAGACTTCTGTAACCTCAAAAGTCTGAGAAAGTGCAAACGCGGTCATTTAAAGACATTAATGTTAACATTCCGACTTTAATGGTTGTCAACGCTTAATATAATTCAAGCGTACGTTATCACGCGAGTCTATCAACTAACGGTATATGGACGGCCGCCAATGAACCAGTTTAAAAGGGCCGCGGTGTTTAAAATAACCAAACTAACGTACACGAATAACAAACAATCATATGTTTTAGTCAGAAAGCCTTTTACAAGTAAGCATATGTTCATTTACTCACCAGATATGTTTTAGAAACTCTCCAGATCTTATGGAAACCGTCCAGTGTTGCCGTTAGCATCCGGGCAGAGTAGGCTAGGCTGCTCCGGGGATTCCCTCGCTAGTTTGCTTTGAATTAAAGGAGAAGTGTCGATTTTATTTTACAGATGGGTAACAACGCACAAAATGGCATTAAGCGTGACAGAAATGTGTTAAACATGTCCATTTGATGTTTTTATGCACTATGTATGCGTGAGCATATATAAAAACATTCTTGAAAAGAAGTGAATAGTAATGCAGTTAAGCTAGATACACAAACGACCATGAATGAACCGCAGAAGATTAAAATTGTCACTCCATTCTAAAGTTATTAACTTAACAATATGTTTACAACTGTATTTCCTTAGAGAAAGTCAGTAAAATACCAACATTTAGGTAGTTTGACTCACCAGTTGCTGTTCTAAACCTCAGATGGAAAATGGCGTCTGGAAAATTCTTCAGTGACTGGGGCTGCATGAATTCCCGGATGTTGGAAATAACACCACCAAGTGTAGAAAAGATAACTCCTTGATTTCGCACTGAATAAAATCAATTCTAACTCTTATTATATTCATTTATCAAAATCTAACTCTTTAACGTCAACACTTTACTCTGAAATGCTTCAACACCGAGAATTCAACTCAGATGAATTTGCTGTGTAGAATGACCAAAACAACATTTCAGATGTTTTACAATGTGGTTCATCATAATGGCATTAATTAATTCGCACCAATTTTTTATCATAATCTGTAAATTTAAAATCACATGACTTTTTTTATGTGCATGCTGGCATTTATTCAGGATGCGTGTTTCCATCATAGTGTATATGCATCTTTTTCTTATTAGATAAAATCTTTATTCTACTCCGTTATGCTCATTATCCGCTTGTTAAGTGTGACGTCACGCGAAGCGGCTTCCGGGTTTAAGCGCTCTATTCAACTGAATGGGGAGACTCATGAAATGGTAATAATAAACGTTTACAAAGGGATTTAATACTTTCGAAAATCACGATCGCAATATATATGTCCATGCCTAGTATCCTATGTGTAATAGGAATAAAACGTGATCATAAACTAATGATTTCTCCACTCAAATGAATGGCGGCTTGGACCCGGAAACAGTATTACATATGTGACCACTTAACAAGCAGAGTAAAATGTATGTGCATCTTGGCGTTTCCATTTCCAGTTAACCATTTTTCTGTGCAATATTTTAAAATGCACGTGAATATAGGTGGATGTAAACATAGCTAAAGTCTACTTCAGCTGTAGCTGGGGTCTGGAAGAGTTTTGTTCGTGTTGCCTATTATGCTTGACGAGGATTGGATTGGCTCATTAAATGCTGTTTGCATCACTGCGGAGGAGCTGAAATTCAGAAATTATAATAGCCTTTTGATTTAGACCAATCACAACAGACAGGGTCATCTGACCAATCAAAGCAGAGTAGGTGGAGCTTAAAAATTACCTTTAAACAAACTATTTCAGACACTGAGAAAAAACAGCTGTTCCTGCAATATACAATATGAAAATGAAGCCCTATTTTAGGTAAACAAAGCGAGAAAAATAGCTAGATACTGGACTCATTACCCAGTTCATAGTTGTCATCCAAGTCCCTTTAAGGCAAGTTGTTTCACAGTCGGCAGAACTAGAAGGTGGGGCTTCATTCGTCATATAGGGGAATTACTAACCGACGTCACACAAGTTCAACCGCACATACATGCTGGACTCTGCAGTTCTCATGTTATATCAGGTAAGTTCACGCTATGCTGAATCATACATGTTACTCGTTTTTGACTGCAGCCATGATTTTAGCAAAAACAGTTAAATATGATGAATTAAACTGCAGACGCTGAATGCTTAGAATAAAATGTGAAAATGTAAGTTCACATACCCTGCCGTACAGGTGTAACTTGCTGTCAGAATGCAGTAGTTTTGCTCGTTGATGATTACCCAGGCCTTGTACTGTTCCGTCTTCTTTCCTTGTCTTTGGCTAGACAGAGCCTCGGTTTTTAGCACTACATAGTGTTGAATCTGGTAATCATGGAACATTAATTTTTGCACGTGACCACACAGAAGAACATTGTTGGCATCCAAAGACTTGTAGGCCTTTAACTTCTCTCTTGTAAAAACAAGTTTCAATGAGAGATAATTGTATATTTCGGGCCACTGGACGCTTGGCCATTTCATCTCATCCAATATCCAATGGAAGGATGCTATCGCAAATGGACCTGTCAGATGAACGCCACTCACTTTAATGTAAATTTTGCAGATTAACTGTGTTTATCAATGGGTGACAAGCTGTTATAATACGTTGAAACCATTATGTAAATAATATACATATGTAATCATTATAACTTATTTCTAAAACAGCAACAAACTCTGTACCGCATCGGATGTGATTCCTTTGCTGTAAATGCTAGTGTTCCTGATTTTGTTCAGCAGCCGCGATATGCGCACATCCTGAATGTTTACAACCCGGTAATTCGTCTATAGACGTTACACTTTTCCCTGTTCAAAACATTAGGAGTGACACATTTCGTGTATTATATAGACTTTGTTGTTATACACATTACATGCTGATTACCTGCCCGTTTGTCTTTCAGGCCTGATCCAGATGAGCCAGCAGATCAGCTAAATGACTCTACAGAGGCGGATCCCACAGCGGACACAGATGTAAAAGAGGACAGCAGAGAGCAGGACGAGCAGATGTCGTCTGAGAGCTAACTGCGCTCGCCTCCTTTTATGCTCACAAACACACCTTGGCTTCCTTCATTCATCTGTGTTACTTTTTGTCTGCCCACCTTTGTGACTTACATGAGTTTTTCTTCGTGTTGTACATAAAACGTGACATGAACATTTATTAGCACTTTTGAATCGAGGCGTCACGAGGCAAACAAGCGCCTTAACCTAAATGTTCCACGCGGAGGATTCTGATGATCGAGCGGGAACGTTTTATTTCAGAACCACACTGACGTCTATAACAAAAAAAAAACAAACAAACAAACAGAAAAACACCGAAGCCCAAATGTATTTGGAGACTGTGCTTGTACTACGTAGCCGCTTTTTATGAGTCAAACTTTTTTCCTTTTGTTTTATATGAAAAAAGGAAAAAGAAAAAAATCTGCTTTTGTGTTCATCGACTCCCATTCAGCAAGAAATCATGAAGTATCATCATCATCATTCTTATTAGTGCACAAATCTGCATCTGATCTGTCTGGTATGGATTTCAGTAACTCCTGTCTATAGACTTTTACTAAATTCTGTAGACTTATTGACCGTTTGTTGTTGGTTGTTCAGTCTTCAGATTATGGCAACTTACATCTGCATAGGTTGACCCGATTAATGCCGTTTTGTTTTTCTTGGATGTCATAAAACACACTTATCATGCTTAATATGAACATGTTTCTAGTGCTATGTAACTTGGTCCAAACTTCTTCTTTTTTTTTAGTATCCGTAAAAGGATTAAATAAAAAAAAATCCGCATGATGGACACAATTTTGAATGTTTTTGTAGAAGAACCATTTATTCAAAATAAAATACTAGTATAGTGGTATACTATGAAATGTGTTATGATATTCTTTGTTATTACTTGTAAATAATAGATATATTTGTAGAATGTTGGTAATTTATTATATAGGAATTATGTTATATAAATCAGCAGCTCGGACGAAGCATTGGCGCAGTAGGTTGTGCTGTCGCCTCACAGCAAGAAGGTTGCTGGTTCGAGCCTCGGCTCAGTTGGCGTTTCTGTGTGGAGTTAGCATGTTCTGCCTGCGTTCGCGTGGGTTTCCTCCGTGTGCTCTGGTTTGCCCCACAGTCCAAAGACCTGTGGTACAGGTGAATTGGGTAGGCTAAATTGTCCGTAGTGTATGAGTGTGTGTGTTTGGATGTTTCCCAGAGATGGTTTGTGGCTGGAAGGGCATCCGCTGTGTAAAAACTTGCTGGATAAGTTGGCGGCTCATTTCGCTGTGGTGACCCCGGATTAATAAAGGGGCTCAGTGGAAGGAAAGTTATTGAATGTGAGTGGTGTAGGTGGCTTTGTTGGTTTTAGTAGATTATTTTAATAACTTTTATTACTTATAAAAATAAATTGTTATAGAATATAAAGAGATAGAATATAATTTTGCTGAATAGAAAATTATTTTGACTAATTACAGCTGGCTGAGCCATCTGACCAGTCAGAGCAGAGTAGGAGGAGTTTAAAGATGCATTTTCAACTAACCCAGGGGTGTCCAAACTCTGTCCTGGAGGGCCGGGATCCTGCATAGTTTAGCTCTAACTTCCTTCAACACATCTCCCTGAAAATTTTTAATACACTTAGAAAGAGGTTGATTAGCTAGTTTAGGTTTGTTTAATCTGGGTTGGAACTTAAATATGCAGGAAACTGGCCAACCAGGACCGAGTTTGGACAACCCTGGACTAACCCATGGGTCTCAAACTTAATTCCTGGAGGGCCGCAGATCTGCACAGTTTTGCTATTAAGCAGGTGTGATTTGGAGGTGGTTAGAACTAAAATCTGCAGAGCTGTGGCCCTCCAGGAATTGAGTTTGAGACCACTGATCAGAAACTGTTAGGATAAAGGCTGACGCTGCAAGAATGTTATGAGAAAACATTTTTATATTTAATTTTAAATTTTGTTACATCTGTGGATGGATGTAAACTCATTGGCGGAGACTTTCAAAACAAAATTATTAAAACAATAACATGAATTAATAAATCATAAGTCTTATTTTTTTATTGCAAAATAACAGCATTAAATATCAGCATTAATTACAGAAAAAAAATAGTCAAAACTGCTAAGCCTAAACTCTGATTCAACTAGTAAGCTTTAAACCGATTGAACATTGTTTATGGTTTATTACAAACAAAGCAAAAGAGTAGTCGATTAGTTAAACAATGGGGGAAAATATCAGTGGTTTTGCTACACTAATCATAGTGTAATCATGGTATTTGTTGAAACTGGTTCTTCAAATTGTATTTATACATTGTTACATGATTAAAACCATAGCTAATTTTGTTAAAGGGATAGTTAACCCAAACATGAAAATTGATTCACTATTTATTCACCCTCAAGTAGTTCCAAACCTTTATGAATTTCTTCTGTTAAATAACACTAAAGATATTTTAAAGAAAACTGAAAACATGTAAGCATTGTAATCCATGGAAGTAAAAACAAATATGCCTACAGAGGAATTCCCTTTTTTTTTTACAGGTTTCCAACTTTCTTCAAAATATCTTTTTTTGTGTTCGACAGAAGAAACACACTCATCAAGGTTTAAAACCAGTAAATGATGGCATAAATCTCGTTTCTGTCTGAACTGTCCCTTTAAATGTATTTAAATTTGACAACAATTTTACACAACATGAAATTTAGTTATGACTTATAAAATATATCAGTGAGACAATTAAACTCGCTCTCCACGGTACCAAGACATGTCAAAATCCTAAATCTCAACAAGCGTCGCGTTTGGAAGCGTCCAGTGCGTCGCGTCGCGCGCTCGAGTGTGGATGGGTTTGTCAGTCAGGTGATCATTCCGCCATTTTGTCAGCCATTTCCTAGACGGGTCCGCTGCAGATCAGCACTTACAGAAAGAGCGAAACCCCTCCTGCACAGGCCGCTGTTCGGGACTGAATGAGAGACTAGAGCTCCAGCGGGCCGGTCAGCACTCAGATATAGCCCGTGTTCGCGGTTCGGTCCGGTCGGACAGGAGGGAAATCATCATGGCTCTGAAGATCGTGAAGGGAAGCATCGATCGGATGTTCGATAAAAACCTGCAGGATTTAGTACGTGGCATTAGGAACCATAAGGAAGATGAGGTGAGACACTTTTAAATGTTTAAGTCCTGTTGTGTGGCAAACAGCAGAATAGGATTTGATTGTAAAAATGTACAAAATTCACCTAGTATGAATGAATCGAGCTGATCTCGTGTCAGTGATCTTAAATCACCTGATTTCAGGTGAGCTAACTGGTTTTATCCTGATAAATGCGTTTAGATGGTAAACTGTTGTGTTTTCAGCGTAGTAAATGAACATTTCCGCGATCTGTGAGGTTGCTGACAGCTGTTAGTGATGTTAGAACAGTCTGTCATCGTTTTGTTTATCATGGATGAGGCCAGTTAGCATTGCTAACGGTTTAGACTCTTATATAAACACATTCTGCAGAATGAATACACCTTTTTTCATCTGATGTTTCATACGAAACGTGTAATTGTACACTTTATGACATAATTTTAGCGCAGCGAATATGTTTAATTTAATATAACAGCTCGGCTCAGTTAACGTTATGTGTGTCATGAGATTGGCCGTGTCTCAACGCATAGTGAGCCACCTATCTAGACAACTTGTTTTCAGCATCATAGGCGTGTCCTAATACCGTTCCGAACGCATACGATGCCTGTGATGTTCCAACATCAAATCTAGGTATGATTTTCTGACGGTATGATAACCTTAGATAAAGACATCATGGTATTATGTGATTACTCATCTAAAATGATTTCTTTTTTAATGTCAGGCTAAAAAAAAAAATCCCCAATTGAACACAATATATTTTATTTTAGAAAACATGTATATTATTTTGGAACATTAAACATGTCAGGCTAAATAATAAAAATGAATAATTGACCTCTGCTCTCTTTATTGTTTCATAAACTGATTTTTTTAAAAAACATAAACGCATTTAAAAACGTCTTACATATATCTTAGGAATGGTTTAACAGAACATTTTAGTGGTTTTAAAACCTTTACTCCAAACTGCGGTAAACCTTGAAACCAGTTATTGTGTCTTGCCTAATCACATCACATGATGTGACATTCAGAAATGTTCAATTCGAGTGTTCGATGTTCGATCTATGATACCGATAAATGTCAAATTCAAACATGAATGAAACTTTGATAGGCAAATAGATTAGCTCAAATGTTTGAAAAGTAAATGCAATAAAATAATAATAAATAAAAATAAACTAAATGTTTCATTTAGATATTCAGATTTGTGTACAAATGTTTGACCACACAAATGTACTTGTAATGTTGATCAATAGTAAAAAATACAAGGTTCAATTTGAACAATCAAATTTGCTAATACTGCGGACTAATTTTTGATTATTTGATTGTGATGCCACTTTATATTTAAAAATGTAAGTTTAATGACAGCTAAACGTTTCAGTTTGCGTGGTCAAACATTAATAAGGTACACCAAATGCTTAACTTCTTAATTAAATGTAGTAATTCCCAAAATGTTCCAACAAGTACGTGACTCACAAAGATGTTTAAATAAAATAATTCTCAAAACTGTTCCGTTTCAACATTAAATTCTCATTTATTGCAGTCTGATATTTCGAAAATACATTTTATACCTGTAAAATGTTAAATTCAAAACAAAATGCACAGATTTTAAAATTGTATCGTTGACTATAGTTGTAATTTTTGCCTAAATAGAAATGCGTAAATCCCCATACTTCAGTTTCTCATCAAATCTTTTGACCAATCAAATGTTCTCTAGTATCTGACATCTCCCGCCCCCTTTAAGACGATTCTCATTTGCTTTTTATTTGATGCGCATTAGCTCAACCACTCTCATTGGGAGAGCTGTGATAAAAACAAAATGTTATTGGCTTTTTTTAAAAAATGGGTGGAGCCAATTTATGTCCCGCCCTGTTTTTATGTTTCAGTTAAAATTCCGTCATACATCAGACAAAAAGTGCACATTTGAAAGCGTCTCATGACAAGCGACCTTTATGTCCTAATGTCCTTAAATGTCCTAATATGTTCAATTCAGATGTCTCCGTACCACCCAATAATGTTGTCGATGTGGGGAACTTGTTAGGAATGAGACACAGCCGTTGTGTAGTCTCTGAAATCACACCTGTCAGTTTGACCACAGCATCAGGGAAGAGAATCGCTGCTTTCTTGTAATTCGTTTAGTGATCTATGGTTTAAAAAAACAAGAAGAAGAGTGGGCCGCAGCCTGCTAATAATGACAAGGCTGAATTTTCTCTGGCATTAATACACTTTAAGAAAAAAAAGGAACAAGGTGCTGTGAGTGACATGACAGCGAGCATTTATATTTACAACCAGCGTTTACTCACTTTTACTTCAATATGGATCATAATCTCATCCCTTTTTGGGAGACTCAGAATTATTGATTTTAGTCAGCAGTTTGGCCTTCTAGCAGACAGCAGGTCAGTGATTTACGTGTTATGAAATGGTAGAGACGGATGTCATGTGTTTCTGATGTTTCTTAGCTGCTGCTTGCATGAATTCAACCTTTTCAGATGAGCAGTATTGTCCAATGTGCCATTTAGTCTGGGAAAAATTATAAATTTGTTATTGTGGACACTTCTGTAAAAAAGCTGAGTTGTCACCTCTGTAGAAGTTTGGATATTTAATCATTCATGACATGTTCATTTCTCGTGTTTGTGCATTTTCCTTGCCTTTGTTTTTTTATTTATTTGTTTATTTATTGTTTTTGGCAGGGGCAGCATGGTGGCTCAGTGGTTAGCACTGTCACCTCACAGTAAGAAGGTCACTGGTTCAAGTCCTGGCTGGGCCAGTTCGCATTTCTGTGTGGAGTTTGCATGTTCTCCCCTTGTTCGCATGGGTTTCCTCTGGGTTCTCCGGTTTCCGGTCTTAAAATGTCTTAAATTTTAAAAACCTCAAAGTCCTAAATCCACTTTTATTTATTAACTCTATTTACTTATTATTATGGTTTAATTATCTTCCTTACAATAGCATGTGTTTTTGAAGTTTTTTTTTTTTTTTTAAGTTTTAACTTGGCCATTAAAAAAAATCTTTAGAGTTTAAACTTGTGTAAGTCTGAAGTTTCATTCAGTATTGTCATAAATGGTCTTAAAACGGTATTAAAAAGTCCTAAATTTGACTTGATGAAATCTGTAGAAACCATGTAAAATGAAATGAATTTAAAATATTAAGTGAACAAACTGAAGCAAAATGGAACATAATTAAAAAGTACAAAAAATTAGAATAATATGAAAGCCATGAAAGTGAATTGTAATAAACTAAAATTTGGATCAAAATACATTAATATGTAATTATGTAATATTACTATCTTTATGCATCTAAAAAGATTTAAAAAGGTTAAACAACTATTTAAAATATTCATTAAAATAAAGCTAAAATTAAACAATTATTAGGTTATTTATTTATTAATTTTTTAAATAAAACCGAAACTTCCCTAAATATTCAGTTCTATTCATCTTATTTATATAGTGCTTTTGAAATGTAGATTGTGTTAAAGCAGCTTAACATAGAAGTTTATAGTAAATTGAAACTGTGTCAGTCCAGTTTTCAGAGTTTAATTTTAGTTCAGTTTAGTTCAGTGTGAGTTAATTTTCACTGCTGAGAGTCCAAACACTGAAGAGCAAATCCATCGTTGGGCAGCTTCACAAATCCCAAACCATGCAAGTCAGATGCGACAGCGGCCAGAAACAAACTTCACTCATTTGCGAAGGTGAAGGGGAAAAAAAACTCAAAACTCAAAAAAGATTAAACTGCTAAGAAATATGAATTAAAATAAAGCTAGAATGAAACAATTATTAGTAGGTGATTTAGGTATTTAAATAAATCTGAAACTTTCCTAAATAATAAATAAAAGTAGCTTTTAAGCATCTAAAAAAAATAAAAGGGTTAAAAACACTATTTAAAATATTCATCAAAATAAAGCTAAGATAAAACAATTATTAGGTGATTTATTTATTTATTTAAATAAAACTGAAACCTCCCTAATAATAAGTCAATCAATCAATAAATAAAATTATTATTTTTATTCATCTAAAAAGATTTAAAAGGTTAAAAACAAAAACTATTTAAAATAATTAACAAAGTAAAGTAAAATGAAACCATCATTAGGTGTTTTTATTTATTTATTTATTAAAACTGAAACTTCCCTCATAAATAAATAATTAAAATAACAAATTTTAAGCATCTAAAATGGGTAAACTATTTAAAATATTCATTAAAATAAAGCCAAAACAAAATATTTATTAGGTGATTGTATGCATTTAAATTAAACTGAAACATCCTTAAATGATAAATAAATATTATATTATAACTATGTTTAAGCATAAAAGAATAAAGTGGTAAAAAAACTATTTAAAATTTTAATTAAAATTAAGCTAAAATAAAACAATTATTAAGAGATTTATTTATTTATTTAAATAAAACTGAAACTTCCCTAAATAGATAAATTTAAAAAAATATTAATTAAACTTATTCAAAATAATAAAAATGTATTGTTTAGTGTATAATTACTATTAAAACAATTTTTCTCTGTACTCAGAAAACTTTGTTGGAGTTACTTCGAATGAATAATTTTAAACAATATTTATTATCTCGTAGTTCAGTCACAAACTACAATCTTGACTCTAGTCTGACCTTTTTGCACTTCCTTTTTTAAATATCAAACATGTTTTAATCACAGTGTATTCAACGCCGAACATCTTCCAAACTCACTTCATTCGCTGCTTTAACGTTCCAGTTACAGACTCCCGGCTCTGTTTAATCTGCAAACATCTGGAGTCAGGTAACAGCAAGGCTTCGTCAATGTAACCTGTACCATCGTACCAAGATATCGTGTCTGTTACCGGGCCAACAGCAGACAGTGCTGTGAAATATTCATAGCCTCCTGAATGAACTATCAGGCTGTGTGTGTGTGTGTGCGTGTGTGTGTGTTCACTGGTCTGTTTGCGCTCGGCCTGTGGTTTCATGTGAGACCTCTATATTTGTTTTCCACGAGAGGTGGGTGTACTTATCCAAAGCTCTGGCTGCGTCTCAAAGCTAGCGAACTGCCTACCTGAATGCTG